CATTGTTATTATATATATATATATATATATATATATATATATATACTTATTTATTTTATTTAATTTTGTATTATGATTATTGTTGTATTTTATTTATTTATTTATTTTGAAAACGAGGCTATAAGGGATAGATGTAGAGTCTGTTCAGTAAGGTTCATTTAAATCATCTATCATGCAAAAGGAAATGCTGCAGTTGCAGGCGTGTCCATCATCAGCACCACAGCACAATTTATACTGGCCTAAATTCCTGCATCCAAATGTCAAAGAAAACATATAGGCTACAGTAGGGTAGGGAATTTTAATAAGCTAAAGCAGGTAGACAGTTTAGGCCTATATTAAATTCTTATTAATTTTAAAAGCGTCACTACTCTGCTGCAAACAAACAAAATCATCTTAAACCAGCCTAAGGTAGTCTGCTGGTCTTATAGCTGGATTAAATTGGTCTCATATCCTGGCCAAACTGGTTGAACTGGCTAAACAGCCTTGTTAAGCTTATTCAGCATGTCTTTTAGTTTGACGAGTTTAAAAGTGACCTTTAAAACCAGTCAACAGACCAGCCAGCAGCCAGACTGGTAACCTTTATAAATAAAGTAATTTATGGCATTGTCTGCACCATGATATATGACCTAGGAAGTCAATCAATCTAAATAATCACTCACTCAGAAATTCTTGATTATTTAGTACAGAAACTACATTGCGTTTGAGGCAGTGGTTGCCGGGTGATGGTGGGGGTGGTTTGCAGGAAACAATTATGGAAACAGGGGCACTCCTCAAGCACAGGGTCTGGGTTATAGCCGCATTATAGAAGAAGACACCTAGAAAGAGGGCCAGCCTAAACAACCTGCCGTCATCACACAGAACAGCTATACCCCATATCAATATTTGAATTGACCTGGCCTGCTTTACATAGGCTATAGTATTGTTTCAAAGCTCACACAGGTGTAGCCTACTGGAGAACTATAAGAATGCAGAATATCCACAAGACCGTTTGAAATCAAATTCATTTACTCGAAATAAATTTAGACGATATCCAGGGTAAATAAGGGCACAAAACTAAAGAGAGAGAAAGAGAGGGGAGGACTCCTTGTGACCTTGTCCCCTTTGGATCTGCATCAATGGCCCTGTCTTTAAACACAGAAAAAAAAAAAAAGAAAAAAAATCAAATGTATCGACTTAAAAGACATCAGATGTAGGCTAGGTCGAACTAGCCTTTTTCCATGCGCGACAATAAACGTTAATATTAAACTAAAACCAAAAATCCAATTACATTTGCTATAAAAGCGGAGACCTTTGGGTTGGCAATTGTGGTTCTGTTTTTTGAGCATCATAACGTTTGGCATCTGCTTGGCATTCATGTCGACGAACGAATTGCGTGAGAGAAACACTATTAAAATACTCCAAAGCAATTTCCCAGGAAAAGCAGCATTTCCAAAATATTCCAGATCCGCTCCTGCGTTCGGTATTCATTTTTAGCTATATAATGATTATCCAATGACTCGTTTACTTAACATAGGCCTATAGATTTCATGATATTTCTTTCTTTCTTTTTATATTTAAAATAAAATTGTTGTTATTATTGATTGATTTAAATAGGCTAGTTTTAGAAGGCTACGGTTACCATTTCTCCGTCATCACAGAAGTGTCCAAATCACAAGGTCTTTGCATTTTCTCCGCGGTGTCAGGTAGACCAGACGCAATTTCAGGCGTCAGAGAGGCTCGCGCTGTTGTTGAGCCAGTTGTATTGATGAAATGCAGTCATAGCGAAGGCAAGGACTTCATCAATCATGCCAAATTATAGCCAAAACTCTGCCATTAGACCTGAGAGACATAACGTCCCCACAGATAAACAACATTGTAACGACAAGCCTTTGATAAATCCATGGAAATAAACGAAAAAGAACGGGCATTCTATATATTGCAAAAATGACTTGTATTTTGATTAAATAAAACTTTTATTGTTTTCACTATTTAACTTGTTGATGATGATCGAGGTCGGGCAAAGTAATAAAACGAATCATAGCTTTGTTTTATTAGGAGTAAGGGGAAACCGGCGGTTATCACACTTTTTACACTAGTCAGTATTTGTCAGAGTAGGTTTATTTTTGAAAGATAATTTATGGGCGATTAACTAAACGTTTTAGCTAAAAAAAAACAAAACGTTTTTTTTGCTGCTGTTCTTTTAAACAACAACTAGGCTACTGTAGTTCTCCTAATCGTAATTGCATAAATGTGTAGGATTTAAAACGCATGACAACTCGCCCATACTTTTATATCCTTGCACACAGTGCAGTCTTTTCAATTAAATATATCAGTTTCTTGTATTCAAGCTTAAATCTCAGTGTGAATCAAGTGAAGTGTCTAATAATCACATACTCTTTTGCTTCAAATGAACTGGGAAACGATAATCTTGTGATGTCTTTCCTATGCTAAATCATCTTGGGGCGAAAAAAAAAGTATAAACAATTACATTCAATGCGATAATAGTTTTGTCTGTGCAGTAAATGTCTGCTCTCTTATTTCTAAGAAGAAATTGCCGCATATAGATTGTTTAAATGAAGTTAGTCGCGTAATTTATTTAAATGGCAATTTACGAAAAACACATTCCTAACGTAAATTAAAGGCATAATCTAGGTTGTTCAACGCGTGAAAATGAAAAAAAAATCGTATTTAATTTAAACATGCATTTTTTTATGCTAATGATCAGTGGACACAATGAACAAGTGACTATGCAAACAGTGATTTTCAAAGTTTTATTTTTTTAATACAATCTATAAGTGCGTAAGTCCAGTGTTATCATTCTGAAATCTATGCTAAACAAATCCTTTCTGCAATTTAACTACAGTTAAGCAGGTTTGTTTAAATAGAATTGCATTTGCTGGATAAATACCTAATTAATGCAGAGTCAAATAAAAAGAGACAGATGAGCTGTAATCTGTTTTTAAAATTACAGTTAATTCAGCACTGAATAACAGTGGTCAGAATTATGTAGTTGTTGCCATAACATTTCACAAATAAATGCTGCAGCAGTTTTCTGAGTGGTTGAGTGCTCATAGTATTGTGACATGGTAAATATGCCAAAAATAAAAAAAAGTGCAAAAGGAGAGAATTTACCCTTTTAATTAAGGGAAAACCCACAACTCTTAGTTAAAATACTCCAAAATAAAATTTAATGTTTATAAATCTCTATACTTAAATATATACATTATGTGCAAATAAAATGTCCAACATTAAATTAAACTATGCAGTGTGTGAATAACAATTTTACGTGTTATTGTGTATATATATTTAGTATTTTATCCTCACTATTGGCACCCAATTAAGTCTGAATAAAAGAAAAAAGAAAAATACCTACATTTATGAGCTGAGAGTAAATATTCAACTAAAAGACATGATGTCCAATGAATTATCTGAGAAATAGAAAAGGCTTCTCTCGAACATACTTACGATGTTCAGATGAAACAGATAGCTGATTTAATTTGCTTGTATATGAAGTATTTGTGTTAATATCATTTATATGATTGGAAAATGGTCTAACAGAATGTGATGAACAACAACACAAAAAAGAACATCAAAAAAAAAAAACTGTAGAAAGGAAGAGGACCAAAAAAGGTACCAAACCTATGAAATATACATAATAAAAAAAATCAGTGCATACAATGTCTCACAGGATTTCAGTCTTCTCAAGGAAGATGAGACATGTGACAATGCACAGACACAAAGCCTCCTAAAACAAGAAAAGTACACACAGAATTAAAATTAAAAAAATGCTTTTGTTCATAATCAATATTATAGGTGTGCTGTTTTAGTCTGTCAATTCTTTGATATCACAGTGACTGTAGACTGAATGTCTTAGACTTGCCTGAATTTTGTAGATATGGCAAAAAAAGCTGACATTCATTTGATACGCATGAGAGGTTTCCAAATTAGAATGAGGAAAAAAAATAAATAGATGTCTTTGTAAATATGACGCAGGCCCCATAAATTCTACATTCAGATTTAACTGACTTCATAGCTTATCTCATATATCTTCATGTAGCTACATGGTTTTGCATGTTTAAGCGGGTTGTGGTAGATAAACCTTGTCGCTACCATTGCTAGCCTGCTAACAAATGACTTGCTTTGCTGATTCTTCACATTGTGGCTGTCCTCCACTCCTTTGCAATGCAGCACATCATATCAAGGGCTTCACTCACAAGACTTCAGTTTAAAATGACCTGCAGAGTTCTGACAGTGTTTCTTCCAGTTTCAAGCAGAATCCTTCCTAGTGCAGTCGCTAATGTTTTACGTGCCAGCAGTCTCTCTCTAACATGTCAAGTGCTGTAGTGCCTAGGCCGCCACGTGACCGATCAGATAGATGTTGTCATAGAGGTGCCCTACAAAGTCCTCGCTGATGTTCTGAGCAGCCCGCCGTGTGTTTCGGATAAACTCCCTCTTGGACATCTTGTTCTTTACGTGAGGGCTGGTCATCTGTCGAGCCACAAAATTTCTCATTTTAATGTACTTATACATTATATATTTTTTTATAAATTAATTTAATTTCACTGATATAATTATCACAAAGCAGTTGCTCATTTATATTAATTTATATTAATGCAAACTGTGATAGTCTATTTATCGTTACATTTTAACAGACAATGTTGGATTATTTAATTTACTGGTATACATGAGTGCAAAAAGTTTGTACAAATGCTCTTTAGTTGCTGTACATAACAACATTTTCACTTGAGTTTTTCCCTTTATAAATCCTGATTCTGCATACTTCTGAGAATTTCTCCAAAATTCTCTTTCAATCATACCTACACACGTCTGTTTAAATTTTTAAAGCTACGATGAGAACGTAAAGATTGAAAAAAAAAAAAAACGATGGAAGAGTGAGTTCTGTCAGTAATTTATAATAAATCTTCCAGCTTGTACAGTGGCACACATGCACTACAAGTCACATGTTATTGCAGAAGATAACTCTGATTGGTTGGACTCAGAGCTGGGTCCTCATTTGCTAACACTTTAAGCCAGCAGGCTTAGCTCAGTTTTAGAAGCAAATGACAGTGTTAGTACAAGGATTTCTCACATGTTGATTATACAAAGACAAGATCATGCAGATAGAGCTACCGACTTAAAATATGGTTGACAAATCAACACGACATCACAAATCCTGTGATTGTATGTACCAATACTAAAACCAGTATTTCAGCTTTAATTATGGCAAAAATCAGTGTACGTCACTTGTGACCTGCTGACACACCTGACAATCAGCAAAACAAATCACAGTGATCTTGATGTCACAGTTACACACTAGATCACTCTGTAGTATAAGTGCCAGTCCGGAATCTTTTATGACTGTGTTGTACTTCACTTACCAGGACTTAAGCCCACTTCCTGCACCAGAGTGGGGTTGCAGGCACAGAAACGATGAGAAAACTTAGTGATGAGGGTCTCCAGGTACTCGCCCCTCTCCTCCGGGGCATGAATGTGTCTGAAGAAGTCTCTCAGTGCATTAGGGAGGAACTGGTTACTAAAGTTATGAAGTGTGACAAGCTCATCCAAGACATCTCGCCTGCAAACACAGTAGTTTTAATGCACATTTTAATTCTTATCAGCAGCAGAATAGTATTTGTCCCTCCAAAACTAAATTTTAATCTACATTTTTGTAGTTATTATCAGCTGTACATTATTATTTATTTATAACGTAAATTTGTGTGTGTATAAATATATAAATCGACTGTGCCCTTATTTGTTTTCCTCCAAATATGAGCAAGGTTCATGGTATTGATATACATAGCTTGGTGTAAGTTATAAAACTGCAGGTCTTATACATTAATAATATATATAAAAAAAAAAAACAATAAACAAACCGTTCATCAAGATAAATCCGCAGCATCTTCCAGTTCAGCATTCTGGTATAGAATATAAACTTGGCAATTTCCTTCGGGTGGTCCACAAGAATACCTCTGGACATGAAGTAACTGATACCCTGAATGAAAGAACCCACATAAAACAGGGTGTGGGGATTAGGAGGAAAAAAGAGAAGGAGGGGGCACGCTTTTTTTACCAGACACCGCGGTTTAGTCCGGAGCAAGGCTATCGCATGTCCTTTAAGTGGACAGCTAAAGCTTTGCTAATCTAACCTAAGACATGAGCGAGGGGGAGTCAAGACATTCAAATGCATCTTTGAACAGAAAAGATGTTTTAAGAGCAGCTTGCATGAGAGAAAAGCCATCAATTTAGTTTTAATCCGGGTTGTGGTCTAAAAGCCTATGTCATGCACCATTATTCATACTACCTGAGCTTGTAAAAATAATATATTTAGTCTGCAGTATGAACATTTCTGGCTTATGTGGGAATTTACAGGGTGGAGAAGGAAACAGTCATATTAATCATAGCTAGCTGGTCAGAACTGTATTTCCAAAGCACATCGTGGCTATGATCATTTCTCTGTTTCTTGCCCATTTAAACATTAAATGGTTTGGCCTGTAATTAAAAAGTCATTATTGTGGCAAGACAGAACAAAAGCTTGTACTTTTTGTACCTCTTGCTGGTGGGCGTTGAAGGTTAGACTTCCTTCATCTAATTCCATGTAGAGTTTTCTATATGAAAATCCAGATGGAAGCCTTCGGTTGTATATGGAACAGTGACCCCAAGTGGACTTGCACAGGCTAGAGGGCAGACGAAGAAAAACAAGAACATGAATAGGAGAAATGCTAAAACATAAAACACTTTCTTTATTAGTGAAAATTTGAAAAAAAATTTTTTTAATTCTTTCTTTTTTTTATGCTCACCAAGACTGCAATTATTGAATCAAAAAATAACATTTTTGTGTGTGTAAACTATGATACGTTACAATTCCAAAGTTTGGGTTAAGTAAGATTTAAACGAAAATTATAATAATAATGCTTTTATTATTTATAAGTCAAAATATAAACATTTATAATGCTACAAAAGATTCCTATTTCAAATAAATGCTGTTCTTTTGAATTTTCTATGCATCAAAGAATCCTGAAAAATCATCATTGTATCATCATTGCATGAATGTATCATGATTTCCAGAAAAATATTAAGCAGCATATAATATAATTAACAAAAGTCATTATTAACAACTGTGTACCACCAATAATAGATAATTAAGCAGCAAATCAGCATATTAGAATGATTTCTTAATTAAATAAATCCTTATTAAATCTCTTTTTTTTAAATTGCAGCCTTGGTAAGGATAAAATATTTCTATCAAAAATGTTTTTTTTTATTAATTAATTCATTCATTATTCCACACTTTTGAGCAGCAGTTTATGTGTTTCTTGCCTCCCTTATGCAGTTCTCTCTCAATTATTATTGAGAAAATATTTGAGAAAATATTCAGACAAGATTTCATGTGGAAGCTAAACACATCACTAACCCCTGCCACAGGTACTCATCATTGCCCAAGTCCTGCCACACACAGGAGGCCAGGCACAGGTCGGTAGCATTCAGGTAGGAGAGGATGGTGATGCTGAGTTCGGGAGGCATCATCTCAAGATCGATGAAGCCCTGCTCCTCTTTGCCTTTGCGGACGCGCAGCAGATGGCTGATGTCGGTGCCGGACACCTGACACTGTGGTGTGCGGCGCTGCTGCAGCGGCTCAGCCAGTGGGGGCCCCACCCTCCGGTCTCGCTCTCTGTCCCGCTGGAGGAAGCACTGTTCACTGTACTGCTGCTGCAGCTGCTGGTTCCTCGCCACCCTCCACAGACCCTGACCCATCTGCAGATCTGAACAATGTTGCATTTGAGTGAAAATTCAATACATATTACATACATATATGTCTTCAGCCCTCAATGCATTAAAATGGTATACTATGATACTAGTTTGTGTATTTAAAGCAGCATTTACACTACAGGTCAAAAGTTTGGAATAAGGGAGATTCTGTTACTGTTTTTTGAAAGAAGTATTTTTTTGCTCATCAAGGCTGCATTTATTTGATCAAAAATAAAGGAAAAACAGTAACATTGTGAAAAATTACTACAATTTAAAATAACTGTTTTTCTATTTTAATACATTTTAAATTTTGATGATCAAACTGTGATGGAAATGCTGAATTTTCAACAGGCATTACTCCAGTCATTAGTGTCACATGATCCTTCAGAAATCATTCTAATATGCTGATTTGGTGTTCGATCATTATCAGTTATTGGTGCTCAATTATTAATGGTTCTTATTATCATCAGTGTTGAATGCTATAAATGCTATAATATACTTTTAAACAATTTAATGTGTCCTTCATTTTTTTTTCTTACCCCAATCTTACTTGTGGAATGGTAATGGATGACGGTTTTGAAAATATATTAAGCAGCAAAACTGTTTTCAACATTGATAATAATAAGAAATGGTTCTTGAGCAGCGCATCAGTATATTAGACTGATTTCTGAAGGATCATGTGACACTGAAGACTGGAGTAATGATGCTGAAAATTCAGCTTTGCCATTACAGGAATACATTTTAAAATAAAATATGTTAAAATAGAAAACAAATTTTTATTTTAAATTGTAACAATACTAAAGTATACCAAATAAAATATAAAATAAAAAAGTATTCCAAATGTTTGACAATTTACCTTTTCAAATGTAAATTTTAGTTTGAAATTGATTAAATTGAGTTCCTGCATTACTGCTGAGCTGTAGAAAACTGATATGTTGCATGTGTAACACTTTTTTTTGTTATTACTGAGAGTTCCGGGTCTTACAGCAGATCAGTTTCTGTTTTTGATTTCATATACATTAAGCAGAAGAAGCTGATGTAATCTCAACCACCTGAGACATTTGATATGGACAGGCTATCCTGCTTTTATTTCTTGTTTTGCTGAGAGCACTTGTATATGATGTGATCTCTTTTTGTATTTATTTATTATTAAGTTAAAGCTTTGTGTCTAAAGCCTTTTATCTCTCCGACTTCTAGTATAAACTAAACCAGAGTAATCCAGAGGCCTCAAGCTCTCAGCACTTTATTCTTGGTTTAGATCATTTCAGTTAGGTCTCCGAATCCTTACCTCATCACAGCAAAACAGCCTCTAGGAAACTGTTTTTAGTGCTAGTGTGCAGAAGTCAGCTGGGAAATAAAACCCCTGATGGCAGCTTTATCTCCACTGCAGTAGCACTATTCCTCTCGTGGAGATACGCATTAAGCCTTTTTATGTGGCCCAGTCTGACTCCCTCCAAGGGCCTTCCTCTCTAAAACACGTCTCTATATATGAGAGGCCTTGTTATTCTTGTCTTTAATGGCCTCTTGAATGCTCTCTGGTTGCTCTCCTTGTCGCAGAGCCTCTAACATGGCAGCCTTACTTATAAGAACTTGACATATACTTGCTCAGAACTGATGTAATGCCACTGCACCTGCTCTTTGGCATTCTGTAGGAGGAGCTTGGGAATTCTTAGACCTGCTTAAAACATGGACCGGAAATCTGAACAAGGTCAATGAACTCTTACAAGCAATTTTCCTCTGCTTTGCCTAAGGGCAGGAGCAGCTCTTAAAAGAAAACTGAAGTATTCTTTTAAATGATTAAAGTTATTATTTTGTTATATTTTTATTGTTATATTTATATTAAAGTTATATTTTGAACATCTTTTTTTCTGCAAGATATGGTGGATTAGCTCATCTAACTCTTGTTGTGTTTCTATTAAAAGTGAAAGTAAACAGGTCTAGCAACCCCATGCATGTTTTATTAGTGTTACTCTTGACAACAAACTGTTTACTGTAAATTCTGACAATACAATGACAAGCAAATACATTTTAGGTCAGTTGATTAAGCAAAAAGTACTTAAAACGTAGTATAAACCCTGACCTAAATGTTCTGTCTTTATTTGCATATCAGTAGCCTTTCAGATTTTAGCCATAACAAAGGAGAACTCATCTGACACATTTCATAGGCATAAACCATATAAACTTAAGCTCTGAGACGTTATATATTAAATAAATATATATTATTTAGGGTTTCACTCTACTAATCTTGAGAATGTTATGACTGACATACAAATCGAGGTTTTCTACAGCTTTTATATTCTAAGCAAAGGTTTTCCATCAAGTTGGGCTGAAGCACAAAGTCCCGCCTCGCTCTAAAACAATTGGTTGAAATGCCAATTTGACACATAAACTCGAACTCTGATTGGACGTTGCGCAAAATGATGCATGGAACTCTTCTGTTTTTATTTTTGCAGCGTCAATCGCTCAAAGCAGCACCACCCACCTCTGTGTATAGAAATACTTCTACCGCCGCCGCGACGAAATGACTTGCTGATCTGCCACTGTCTCACGGATGAAATTATCACAGTCCTTTAACAGGAGCCCAGGACAGCCATCTTGACAGCTCCAACGCTGCGCTGCTGATCGAGGTGAGACAATCCTGTGACACTATTATCATTCCTCAGCTCACTCGCTCCTCCTGTCTGTCCCTCCTCCTCCTCCTCTACCACTCTGGCCAGACTGACGTTTCTTGTTATGGGTGGAAGTGACGCAAATCTCTCAGAGTAAATTTACCACAGGTACATACACTTGCACTTTCGATTGAAAATCACCATGAAAATAACCCC